TACTTTTTGTGAACGTTACAACTAGTGTGGTAAGCATATTATAATGTTGTCCGGCTCGAAGGACCAATTTGTTTAGGCCCTTACTAGTAAACGATGATGATTTAATGATACATGTGGACAGTGCTAGTGATAGAAAACTGTTATAATTCTCATTGTAGTTTAAGGTTATATTTGAATAAAACAATATAATATAGAGTTACACGTACGGTGCCCTCGGTAATTAGATACTGCTAAAAATATGCTTTGTACGCATGTATGGGTTACAACTATTCATCCTGGTGTCCAATATTGGTTGACTGCGATAAACAGTTAGCTATACTCGTCCCTATTTAAACAGAATGTGTACATTAAATTTCATAGCGACTGTATGATCAGTTTAATGCCAAAAAATAATAAAGATATCTAAAAATCTCTTTTGCATTTATAATATTAGTAAAGGTGTGATATAAATGATATTTCATATCATATAAAATGTACACTACAATTTTAATTGAATACAAAGCATTTAATATATTGTAAACAACATCTATTAGCTACTAAACAGTAAACCCACTTAATTCTTGTTTATTTTGCACATAAAACTGAAGTTGTATCGTAAACAGTATGACTAGTTGTGACAGTCGTAAATTTAAAGCGAAGATTAAAGATAGATTAAGTTTAATATAGTTAGTCGAAGTTGTATGTAATATCATCATTCGAGGAGATATCACCGTAATTATGTAACTGGATAACCGGAATTTAATGAACTTACTGTCTGTAGGCCCATCTTAACCTACCAACATGATGAAAGGCGTCTGCATGTAGCTGAGATGTGAAAGTTGAGATGAATGTGTGGTGAGACAAGAACGGACATAATTGAGAATGTATATATTAGAAGAAGTATGAAAGTCACGTCAGTGATAGACAAGGGGTAATCATTTGTCCTGGTATGGACATGTGATGCGAAGAGATGAGGAGCATGTTTAAGGAAAGGTATTAAGTATAAATGTGGATGGCAATAAGGGCAGAGAAAGATCAAAACCATAGACAAACTGGATAAAGGATGATATGGTCAGAATACGAAAGTAACTGCTAATAGAAAAGAATGAAAGAAAAAAAAACATATCACGCCGACCCCTAATAAAAAAAATGAGGTAAGTTTTGGAAGATGACAACTAGGTTTGTAGCTATTACTGATTTGACAATTTTTGGTGCAAAATAATCAATTGTATCACAGGGGATTAATCGATTGATGAATATTAATAGATTTTGGATCAAGTTATCGAAAGAAATTTTAAGAATATTTTATTTAACTTTCAATATATGTTAGTTGGTTTAAGTCAAAGCAAGTTTGGAAACAAATTGTTCCTAACCAATTTTGTTTAAATATTGCTACATATTTAGTTTTAGTGGCAATACAATATGCAATATTGTGATATTTTCAAAATGTCCGCTACCATCAGATTTATTTTCTTCACTTTGTTTAAATGAAATAGCTTGAAAAGTAGATAGCAATAAAATTAATGATCATTTTAAAATGGTCGCAGACGACAGTGAATTACATTGTAAAATCTTGTTTTTAAAAGACTTATTTCATTATATTATTAATTTAGGATTTCCAAATTAAGATTTTCTATTTTAATTATTAAAATAATAGATAGATGGATTTACCAGAGGCAGACTTTGTACAAAAGTCGATTGCTTGGGTACCTCTGTCCCATTCGTGTTTCAACCGTGAAGCAGTTGTGTTTGCATGGCTGTGTTTCGGTATAGGATATGGCGTGAATTTACTGGGTACAGAGGAATAACACCTGAGTCCTCAAGAATGGCAACGCATGGGAGGTATTATGGGAGAAACAGTATACTCTGTTATGTCCATGGTACTGCTCATGTCTATAGGCGACAGTTATCACTTTCCATCAGGTGGGCCGTCAGCTCGTTTGCCATTCTAAGTTGTATAAAACAAAAACAGATAGATGGAGCAAAATATTGTTTTAAGGATGAGAAATCTTTAGTTACAAGATGAGAAATTTATTGATTCGATTGTTCTTTGTGTATATTGAGTATTTTACAGTTTTATGAATCATTTTTAATAACTATTTTTATCTAAAGAGTTTTTAATTTCCACACCATAATGATAATGAGTGGCGGTCCTCCACCGTGCGTTTTTCAAGGCACTTTCTCCCACGCACAACCACTCTTTGGAATCAACTTCCAGCAGCAGTATTTCCGAACCGATACGACAACATAACCTTCAAGAAAAGAGCATATTCCTTTTTAAAAGGCCGGCAGCACACCTGCAATGCCGTAGGTGTTGTGGGTGACCATGGGCGGCGGTAGTCACTTACCATCAGGTGAGCCGCATGCTCGTTTGCCCCCTGTGTTGTAAAAAAAAAACACTAATTTATTTCTTGTAGATATTAACAAATTTTAGTACTATAAAGCAAGTTATGAATATGTTTCCAATTTTATGAATCATCACAATTAAGAAGAGATGTGATTACAAAGTAACAATTAATGCCTATTTACTGAAATACTCATAGGAACAGAATTACATCAACTGTCTTAATTGATCAATTAGTAATCTGTAACTACTAAATTGCTAAATCTTCAAAACTAAATAAGCCAATACGTTAGACGGCTGTGTGTGATTTCCACTAAAAGAGTTTATATGAATCATTGATTTCTTGATTTTAAGCAACTTTAAAAAAGCGTTGTTTCTCAAATCATCCATATTTTTGTATGTATAATATAATATCTTCGGCAAATGTGAATTAATTGATAATTTTCGAATATTCAATAAAATTTACTTTAATGTTGTACTCATCAGAAAGCAAAACGCTATTTGTTCATTTGATTTGGACGTGCAAATAAGAAATTGATTGATCATGTAGATAAATATTGCTAATTTTATTTATTTAAATTTCTTTTTTATTTATTTATTAACACGTCAAACTTCCTATTTCATAAAAAATGTTTTACCGAACTAGGAACTAAAATAACATTATAAGGAATCCTATATCATTGGCTATTTGATTAGAATTATTTTGTTTAATTCCGCTACCATTAGTATACCATATATGCGAGTGTTGACAATCGAAATTACCGAGTTACCAAGTTCTACAATCTGCCAACATTAACCGCCACTTCGTCCACGCACGTTTTGCGACACGTGTATCACCTCTAAATGAGCCATCTTTAGGCAAATTAAAATATAGCTTCTCGGGGCTTAGATAGATGTAGTTAACATTTTTATTCGGGAGAAGTGAAAAAATACTGCGACACTTTGACAGTGAGATTCGAAACTAGTGATGCGCAACAACTATTACAATTACCTTTTTTATAAGCGCCGTCTATATTTACGATTATCAATTTAACCGTTCGCCAACCAAACTACAAGCTTTTCAAAATTCGCAGTTTGGTTGCCGATTGCTTACCTATTACCCACTACCCTTTATTTGTAAAACTTTCTGTCTATATTCTGGTTTTATATTTCTCCTGAAGTCATTATTATCATTTTTATAAATTGTATAGGATTATTTGAACTATACAAAGGAATTATTGTTCATTTGCTAAAGCCCTAATTATTCTCTACTATTAATAATACAAAATAAGACCCAATGATACTCTATTCCTCAATTATATCTTAGTACATCTTAATAAATTGAAATTTAATAGAACTAGAGTCGTATTATTAATATAAAGTTTGAAATTTTGTAGGCAAATATTTAGCAAGCGGCTTTCACAAAACATTAAATAATAATAGTCCAGAATTAGACTCATAAACTCCTCCCCCCCCCCCCCTCCATCTCGCCCTAGATAAATGGTAAATAATCAATACATTCGTATTATTAGGTTTCGTGTAAGAAAGATTAAGACACTAGATATTCCTATCTCGTTCCATCTTATGTACCTACACGGTGCCAAGTATTCGATTCGTAGGTCCCATACTAGTTTAACAAATACTGAATGTTAAAAATAATAATCTTACTTCATTCGCTTCATACATCGTCCATGCATTCAATTTAGGATTAATTGTATTGTCTCAAATGTTATAAGGATGAAACAGTTTTGTTCTATGTCTTACTTATATTGTTTCCTTGGTGCTTCCACCATAAAGCTGCAATGCTTTTATGTCTATATTTAGGTTCGACAACTGGAACATGGTAATTAAATACGTACCTCGTAGGTACTGAAGCATAAGACCGTTTAGGATAAGCAACACATTTTTTTATGCAATTTAAAATGACAAACAAGCTGTCGGCCGAACTGATGGAAAGTAGTAACCGTCGCTTATAGACTTGAGCAGTACCATACACATAACAGAGTATACTATTTCGCCCATAATATCCCCCATGCGTTGCTACTTTAGAAGAATGAAGGATCTACCGCTTATACAACGGATTGTGCTCAGAGGAATTATTCAATATGATGCCTACGACCGCTTTCTATCATCATACGGCTCGCCATCGACAGGGAGTTCACCCTCATACCTTACAGCCTAAATGGTTGCGTACAACGCGGTTTCAGAGATGTTTTCTCTCACGAACACTCAGGTTATGGAATGAGCTCCCTACCGAGGTTTTCCCAAGAGACAGAACAGCATGGGGTTCTTCAAAAGGGGGGGTAAAGAGATTTCTTCAGGGTCGGCGACGCGCGCGTAATACCTCTGGTATTGCAGGCGGTCATAGGCTACGGTAACCGCTTACCATCAGGTGGGCCGTATGCTTGTTTACCACCTCAGTGGTATAAAAAAAAGATCTGAATTATAGTGCATTCTTTAATGCCCATAATTCTCTCTATGTCTATTTTATGTTACAGTCACCTGTCTTGATAAAAATATCAGGACAGGTAGCTTTTGATATATACTTGATGGTTAATTATCATAAAAAAAATATAATCGATTTTATTTTTAATTTTACATTCACAAATACAGATAAGTTTATTAAGAATCATATAAATTCGTCACATTGTCAATATAAATACGTTATATGCTTGACACAGTGTAAAATTTATTTCAGGTAAACGCTGACCGTCCTGAAATCAAATCGAGGGAGCGGAAACTGCTGAAAATTGTGAGTGTGATTTTAAATTCATGATTCAATTTACAATTGTAAAATTTACTATTAAAATATCCTACTCTGTAAATGACAAATGAATCGAGGAATATAATACTTTAATGCGAACAGTAGTGTACTGTTTCACCACAAACTAAGGTTAACTCCGACCATCTGAATGAGTGGCGGTCAAGATAAAAACCTTGTGTTTTTCAAAGCAGTGTCTTCTATGTGCGACCACACTTTGGAATCGACTTCTAAAAGTGATATTTCCAAATCGATACGATATCGTAACGATCAAGAAAAGAGCATATTCCTTTTTAACATGTACGGCACACTTTTTTTTTTAACGTCTGGAAAATGCATTATGCAGACCCATACACCTTGTGGGAGGTGAATGGGTACTGTGGGAATGCCCCCGTAAGGCGGGGGTGTACCCACCAAAAACCAGACGATATACCCTCAAGGTGCCATATGTCGGACACATGGGTTCGCTTTCGCACTCACCACATCTCCGACGGCAGCGACCCGCCCCCAGATGGTAAGAGCAGGTCTCCTCTCTCAAGATCCACCCTGGATGGCGTGCTCTCCCTACCACTCGGGGGATGCGCCGGTATATTAGCACATCCCCCAGGATGGGCGGCACACCTGCAATTTTTTCAAAAAGCTACCACATAATTAACGAAAATTGAATTAATTACAGTTTAGTCGTATTAAACTCACTGAATGAATAATTAGCAATGGTTTTTCTTATATAACTGCTGTTATTATTAAATATAATTATATATCAATTTAATTATCCCTACTACATCTTCTTTTCATTTAAGAGTTTCCTCTTGTCGGTGCAACTAATTAATGCATCTTCTTCCAGCCAGTTCTATCCCAGGCCATATCCGTGATCTCCCTATACGACATGACACCTAGTGTTTCCTTTATCTGTCCCATGTAGTTATTGCTCGGTCTTTCTCTTATTCTTTTGCCCTCTATCTTTCCTTCTACTATGCTCTTAAAAAAATCGTCATGTCGTATAAGGTGGGCTAGCATTTTGTCTCTTCTATTCTCTATTATTTTAATTAGTGTTCTTACTACCTATACATTATTAAAAATAGTGGAAGCTCGTATTATGAAGCAGTTGCCTATGTACTGGGGATTCATTTATATTTTTTGTAAAATAGCGCAATGGAAAATATTGTTACTATATTTATACGTTTCTAATGAAAAGTACTTTTTACAGAAATAATTCTTAACAGCAAAACAATAAAGTTTACAAGTTTATGATGCTAAGAGGTTCTAATGAACAATTCTATGACAGACTTTTTTTCACATTTATTACCTCGTAACTCAGTTATTATTCACGGCGGTCCTCCGCCGTGCGTTTTTCAAGGCACTTTCTTCCACGCACAACCACTCTTTGGAATCAACTTCCTGCAGCAGTATTTTCGAACGGATACGACAACATAATCTTCAAGAAAAGAGCATATTCCTTTTTAAAAGGCCGGCAGTACACCTGCAATACCGTTAGTGTTGTGGGTGATCATGGGCAGCGGTTGTCACTTATCACCAGGTGAGCCGCATGCTCGTTTGCCCCGTGTTGTAAAAAAAATATAAAACAAGTCAGAAAAGTTTCATTGAATTGGACTCATAGAAAAAATATCTAAATTGGTTCAGTAATTTTTAATTTTTTTGTAAAATTTATATCACTTATTATTTATTATTTTATTTATTTTTATTTATTTAACTCTTTATTGCACCATAAATAAAAATATACAATGACAAGTGAATAATTAAAGCGAAATACAGTAACATAAATACAGATTGAAATATACACATAAAGGTACAAAAGGCGGTCTTATCGCTAGGACATTCTCTTACAAACAACCTTTGGTTAAAGGAGAACAGATAGAAGTGGGCAGGTGGCGCACGAGTGAATTAATAATTTTTCGTGCATAAAATACAATAACCTGGAATGCACAAAAATATCAAATACAATATAATTTATTAAATATTTTATTTCATTATCATGCAAGTACATATAAAAAAAAAACTTAAGAATTAATTTACTTATTCTACATACATCTATATGTTAAATATTTTCATTTCAAAAAATATTTGAATGTGAATTTACAAGGTACAGAGGAATAACACCTGAGTCCTCAGGAATGGCAACGCATGCGGGGTATCATGGGTGAAACAGTATACTCTGTTATGCCCATGGTACTGCTCATGTCTATAGGCGACGGTTATCACTTTCCATCAGGTGGGCCGTCAGCTTGTTTGCCATTCTAAGTTGTATAAAAGAAAAACAGATAGATGGAGCAAAATATTGTTTTAAGGATGAGAAATCTTTAGTTACAAGATGAGAAATTTCTTGATTCGATTGTTCTTTGTGTATATTGAGTATTTTACAGTTGTATGAATCATTTTTAATAACTATTTTTATCTAAAGAGTTTTTAATTTCCACACCATAATGATAATGAGTGGCGGTCCTCCACCGTGCGTTTTTCAAGGCACTTTCTCCCACGCACAACCACTCTTTGGAATCAACTTCCAGCAGCAGTATTTCCGAACCGATACGACAACATAACCTTCAAGAAAAGAGCATATTCCTTTTTAAAAGGCCGGCAGCACACCTGCAATGCCGGGGTATCATGGGTGAAACAGTATAGTCTGTTATGTCCATGGTACTGCTCATGTCTATAGGCGACGGTTACCACTTTCCATCAGGAGGGCCGTCAGCTTGTTTGCTATTCTAAGTTGTAATATATATATATATATATATATATATATATATATATATATATATATATATATATATATATATATATATATATATATATATATATATATATATATATATATATATATATAGAACAGTGAGTTTCAGCTGTAGACGATGTCCACATCCGAGTAACGGTTACTCCATCCATCATATTATTATTATTATTTTATGATGTGAGCGGCCGGCGAAGCGAATATGTTCACACATCATACACACGCCATTAGCGCGTATGTATAAATGTGGTAATGTGTTTTCCGCCCTTCGCTACATGTTTCGTAACAAAAATCTAAAAATAAATATAGTGTCTAAAGAGGACGAAACACATCAAATATTATATATTTATTACCTTTTTCCTTCTTAAAAAACTTCAATCGATTCGTTATTATTTAAATAAATTTATTCTGTACGACGTTTTAAAAAATTGACATGCTATTTGCTATTATTTTTTAAATTTTACTATAATTCTCATTCTATTATTTATTAATATTATTCTCATTCTATTATTATATTCTATTATTTTTATTATTATTAGAATAAATATTATTACTATAAGATCTGTAATTATCTAAAATGTATCCACGTAAATAGGACTTTACATTTTGCACGCCATCAATGTGGCTAAATATGTGATTTTATAAAACTAATTAAGATCTATTCCAACCATATTTATGCAAATAATTTATTATTATTATTTTTTAAAATTTTCCTAAAATTCACATCTCCCCTCTTAAGGAGAGGAGATGGCAAACTAATCCCTAGCAGAAGCACAGTCGGGCGAGGTTCAAGGCCCCAGGGAGAGAAACCGGCGTACAATGCGGGCAAAATCTAAGAGCTTTCTGCATCTTTCCCGGGAGTGAGCCGCCTCGGAATTCCAACCGTCTGAAATGTTGTTCCAGACTAGTTGGGATAATACAAAATTAGCAGAGTACAGTTGGTAGACTACTTTCGTGAGATAGAAAAAGAGTAAGAGTTAGAAGTGAGATAGCAAATTGGTTTGAAAGAAAGTGCCGGTGTGCAAATGAAAAAGGGCACGCATGTTATATTAATCTGTGCAAATACAAAGTATGTATATATGTATAGGGCATTCTAGGCCATAGACAGACCTGTATTCTTCTATAATCAAGTGTAGTAAAATGCAGGAGCAAAAAGGATTGGACAAATCAATACATCCTACTTACAAACACTCGTCAAGTAGTTCACACGTCGTGCTAAAGATCTAAAAATTTTCACATACATAACATACATACAACTGGAAAACATTAACCTACTTTCTTTCGAAGGTTGGGTAAAAATACATGCAAATTGGGAATCCTTTTGAAGTTTGTGCTACTCACAAACTTCACATCAGAAAAAGTAAAACAAAACGCGCGCCTTATGCCAACCGGAGGCATGTAAAGGAATCGCTTTATGCAAAACATTCGCTCTATTGATATGGCCCTCGAGAGCCTAGTACGATAAACTATTCAACAGTTCGCTAGCAAATAATACATAGTGAGAGTTCTTTGGAGGACTTCAGTATGGTTATCACTTCTGTTTGCAAAATACGCTCCTTGTCGCTGATTTTTATCCCTTTGCAAAAAAGGGTGTAAGATGCGATTGGAGATTTTCTCTGTGTGTTTTTATATCGTCGTAGCTTTCAAATGGATACGCTGATTTCAATTCTTATATTTAGTATGGAAATGAATTTTGCCGGAGCTCATCATCTTCATCATCATATCAGTTAACTGTTCACTGCTGAACCTAGGTCTCTCCCATAAAGGGCGATTTTGCCAGTAATTGCCACACTTGGCAGGTGTGATGTTTCAATAAGGACGCTGCTACTCATTTCTCGACTATTATAAATGTAAATAAATGAATTATGTTGCACATTTTTTTTATAACAACTTAGATCGACTAACAAGCTAACAGCCCACCTGATGAAAAGTGGTAACCGTTGCCTATAAACATGAGCAGTACCATGGACATAACAGAGTATACTGTTTCGCCCATGATACCCCCCATACGTTGCCATTCCTGAGGACTCAGGTGTTATTCCTTGGTACTCAGTAAATTCACGCCATATCCCACCCTTCAAACTGAAACACAGCCATGCAAACACAACTGCTTCACGGTTGAAACACGAATGAGACAGAGGTACCCAAGCAAACGACTTTTGTGCAAAGTTACATTAATTATGGCAAAAACATTTATTTTGATTTCAAAATTAAACTACTAAAAGAAAGTTGATAAAATTTCTAC